AGGCAGGCATCTGACCTCCTAGTGACCAAGGCAAGGTTATGGCAAGCACATGTTCAGATGTTATGGCTGCTGAAAGGGGAGCTGGTCCCTTCAATACAATGTGCCCTGATCTCATCCACCCCTTTCCTCCAATCCTTCCCGGATTCACCCCCACTTCCAGATCCACCCAACTTTGTGAACTTTAATCAAGACCAATTTATGCTGCCCAGATATTATTTGACGTGTGGTCTCCCAGCGGATTGAGGACCACCCTCGGGGGTGGGGGCTACGCTCTTAGAGAACACACACTCTGTCTCCCTCAACAGTCAACGATTGCCGATAGCTGCACTGCTCAGAATGGGATTCTATACCCAGCTCCCATTTCCATACCGGAAGTTGGCCTGGCTTGGCTTCCTGAAACAGGAAGTCCGCCTTTGTCCATATTCTCGACTGGTGTTCCCTTCCTCCCAGTTGAGTGAGCGATGCTCACTGACGCTGCTAATGCATACTGTAGGGGATGTAATAGCCAAGAGCTACCCAGCTCACCTGAGCTGCCATCCAAACCCTGGGGAGATGATGCAGTGCAGTCAAACGTCCAGTGCCTGCAGCAGCTCAGAAGTGGTCCCAGCATGCCCCGAGTAAATGCCTGTGAGCGAACGGGAGGAAAAGCAGGCAGAAACTATGTATATAACTACTTTTTAGTAGTGATTCTCACATTTCCATCTGGGGGCTCCTTTACACACTCAGAAAGACGTTGTATAATCTTCTTTCTGCTTACATGGGTTCTGTCACTTTTTATATTAGAAAAGAAACTGTAACTTTTTTTTGAAAAATATAGAAACTTAAATATTTCCACTAGCCAGAAGAATGTGGCATCACAGATTATTATATAGCCTGTAGGAAATTCCAGTGTATACTCATGAAGAAGTTAAGAATACAAAGATAAGTAGTGCCTTATTGTTACTGCAAAAGTGGTTTTGACCTTGGGGCTCCAGGTGTAGATACCCCACACATCTACCCCCTTGAGTCCTACTGTTCTGAGGGTACTACCTATCAGGAGGACACCCACAGGCCGGTGACAGCTCTAGCTGTTCATCCAGAAATGCCATAAGACAGTGAAATGGCACATGCCAAGAACAGAACAATAAACCCTGACCACACAGGTTCCGCCTTCTCCTAGGTCTCAGGCAAGGGGGCTAATGCCGACTACCTATTGTACATGTTTCGAGGAATTGAAAGTTTAATATGTGTTACATACTGAAAAAACACTCCAGAAGCACAAGTAAGGTTATACGAGGCTCAGTACTTTTCCCTTCATTGTAGTCTTTCATGTAAAGTTCTCCAGACTCTGCTTGATCAAGCTAGGTGTTCTGCAGCTTGCTGCTAGAATGAACTTGAGGCAGAGGTGTAGTGATTTAAGAAAAGCAGCGTGCATGAGAGTGAAAGATGCCATGCAACAGGGTTCAAATAGAGGGATTCTTTTACTAGGGAAAGGGATCATAGAAAGGGGAAAGGGGAGGGGGAGACTGACCTTTGGGGAGAGGAGCAGCAGGAGAGAGGAAAGAAGAGGCAGAGAGAGAAGGATGGGAGGTGGGTGGGGCCCTTTTAAAGGGAACACCTTGAGTGTGCACAGGTGGTGCTCTCAGTGGCTGCAGCTGAGGGCGAATCCCGTCAGAACCCCAAGGGCAGGCCGGTACAGATGCCAGAATACCAACAAGAGGCATGGATGCTGGGTAAGACCCTGCTGAATAAGACATGTGGCACTTGTTTACAAACAAGTGCTTTGTAAAAATACTGTTTGAGAACATTTGTGAAATACCTGCAAAGAAGTCACCTCCCAGCCAAGTGGTGGTGGCGCAGGCCTTTGATCCCAGTGCTCAGGAGGCAGAGGCAGGTGGGTCTCTGTGAGTTCGAGACCAGCCTGGTCTACAAGAGCTAGTTCCAGGACAGTCTCCAAAGCCACAGAGAAACCCTGTATCGAAAAAAAAAAAAAAAATCACACCTCTCTATCCCTGATTGACAGCAGCATTGGTAATTGGTTTGTTAAAGGGCCCTGTTGTAAACACTGGCCCCTTAATTGTCCAACACATTTTTTGAGACCAAAAAGGAATGCTCTTAAGTACTCCCCAAAGGTAAGATTGGTACTGTCCTGGGCAAATCCATATATAAAAAAATTCTTCAAGAATAGTTGAAGCTACGTATAGTGGTAAACACCTATAATCCCAGCATGGTGATCCAAAAATTGGGGCTAGCTTGGGCAATAGTAAACTGGGGCTAGCTCTCTCACAGGGCAAACAAACAAAAGAACTAGTCAAGTGTTGCTGTATGTTTGTGTGGTGTAAAAAGTGTTGCTGTATGTCTGCGTGGTGTAAAAACCGCTGTCTCCCCTTGCTTCTCCCACAGCTGTGCCAATTCTGCATCTCCTCCATGGTGCAGCACGGCATACAGATTATTCAGATTGAAGATAAGACTACAGTAATCAATAACACACCGTATCAAATATTCTATAAGCCACAGTTGTCTGTCGCCAGCCCCTGCTCTGGAAAGGAGGTAAGCAGTCTATAACACAGTTGTCTTCTCCTTCTCTGTCAGTTCATTCGCAGTCTAAGAAGATAAAGAAAACTGTTTTCTTTTAAAACCACGCGGCAGCTCCTTCATGCTGTTAAAAACTATCCAGTAAGCAGTTATCATTCTTTAGTGTGTGCTTACTGTTGTCCCTTTCAGCTCCTGAAAGCTATTTTCAGATAATCACACATGGTGACTATCTTCCTTTTAACTTACAGTGGATTTTGCTATTTACAAAAATGTCTGAACAAGAGAATTCTCAATATGCTTCCCTGATTTGGCATAAGTTCCTAGAGAGCACTGGTGGCCCTGATCCCTCCCTGTGCCCCCTTTTCAGCAGTAGCCCTGCCTCTGGTAGACTATGAGACAGTAGGGAATTGTTTTTGAAGTCTAAAATTCAGAGGCTTGAGTCATTGAGATGGCTCAGTGACTAAGCTCCTACTGCTAAACTTTACAGCCTGACTTTATTCTGCAAAACGCACAGTAGAGAGAACCATCCCCAGGAAGTTGTTCTCTGATGTGTGAGTGTGTGTCCCAGCACTAGGCAGACAGAGGCAAGTGGATTTCTGCATGTTCGAGGCCAGCATTGTTGTGTGTGTGTGTGTCTGTGTGTGGTGTGTATGTGTGTGTGTGTGTCTGTGTGTGGTGT